TGCTGATGTCAGCTTCTTCAAAATGGTGGTATTCTTTTTAAAGATTATGTTCATCATTGATAATCTTCATTGCAGCTCTTTGTTACTTATATGATTTAACTCTATAATTATCAACTGCTTCCACTACTTTCAGTTTATCTTCTGACTTTGAGAAATATTTCAATATTCAGATGTGGAACACAAAGTTAGCATCTGCATCAGAATCTACTAATGTTCACATCATCAATCATTCTGCTTCTATCAACATTTACATATTCATTGCCAATAACTGTTTGTCTTGCAGTCTAGTTGTTTGTATTCTCAATACAGCAGCTGCTTCTATAATTGAAATTGCTGATTTTTTGCTTATCAAACTTGATTGTGCTTCTTCAGATGTAACATCCAACAATCATTCACAACATATCTTTTTTTATGACAGTGTGAGCACTTCTTCATTCAGTTATACTTATTCTTCTTGACTTGTTCAGTTGAATCTGTCTGTTCTTCTTGTTTCCTCTTATTTTATTGATTACTAGATCTATCAGAGTGATGTTGATTTTCTACAAATATCACAGATCTACTCTTACAAATAATATATTGTTGTTTCAGCATATTTTCCTCAAGAGTCTGTAGAGTTTGAAGCAACTCTTTGTAATTATGAGGCTCATTATTGCATCAGTCAAGTTCCATGCATAGCATCTTCAGTGCCTTGCCACACAAGTTATTCATCCTTTGTTCCTCATTATATGAGGGTAAGTAATACTCTCAATTCTTGAGGTATTTAGAAAAGTCACATATCAACTGCCACTTCTGTTGCTTAGCATTCTGGAATCTCTGATTTGCTAGTTGTTGTTGATTCTGTGAATTGTTAATCTGTATCTCTAAATGCATTAGTATATCATCAAACATTAATGATGTTGCTCTCTTATATCTTTTGTATGAGGATACAAAATTCAACCACTTCTGCTTAACATAAGCATCAAGATAGAATTTGATATTGTTTATCTTATATTCTTTCTTTTGATAATATCAGTGGTGATGTGTGAAGAGAGTTAACATGCAATCTTTGTAATCTTTAAATTCTAACATGTTTTTTTCTCAATAGTAATTCTTAATCTTCAATCATGATAATGTTTTATTATCATCATTAATATCATCTACAGATCAATTTAGTGGTGGTTCTACAGCAGTATCATGAGTTGATTGAGGCTCAGTGGAAGTGTCTTCATATATCTATGCTTTCAACTTATTGAGACACTGCTGTGCATGCAGAATAGCTAATTATTGTTCTTGTTTGCAAATTTAATCATTTAGCTGTTGCAATCAGATGTTATGATTGTCAAAGATGATAGTGGATTCAGATTGATTCTCAAGAAATTTTGTGTATATTGAAACCATCTTGTGTATTTTAACTAACATTGTGAATCTTGTTGTAGAGTGTGTGTACAACAGACCACTCAGATAAGATGTAGAGTGATTAGAATTATGAGAGAAAGGAGAATACTGAGGTTAACTACAAGAGTGGTGTGAAGTACACATAAGCTAAAAGATAGCAATCTCTATTATCCAAAGCTAATTGCTGATCTTCTAAGATCTACAGATATCAGTGAGCATTATATACAGACACTGTTGCCATATAGCTATTTTCTAATATAGATATCTCTGTTGCGCCTATTACACTAGCTGAAGAAAGAAGAATAGTGAGTGTATATTCTTTTTCTAGTGAAAGATGATTATTAATGAGATACTCAGCTATTATTATACAATGAAATCAAGATCTGTTCTAGAGATTGTGAAGAAGTTTGAGTTGATATATGTACAATTAAAAATAAATCTGAACAAGCTCTCTATTTTTCTCAGAAGAGCAAGAAGATAATCTGTGTATATTAACTATATTGTATATTTTTTAATTTTAAATATTTATTTATTTATACATGCAGGCTGTCTCAGCAGAATTCACAAGAGTAAGCATTCTCTCTTTCTCTCTTTTCTCTTTTGTACACAAGACATTCTCACTTTCCTCTTTTATTTATGATGATAATAATAATAAATTGATTATAAAATTCTCTCTTTTTCTGTCTCTTCTCTCAATTTCTTTTCTCTTCCTCTCTTCAGCTTCTTCATTATCATTTATCAGTATATACAACCTCTTTTGCATTAGAATTTATCATTTTTTTGTTGAAATTTATCAAGATTACTCATTCACTGTCCACTCTGTCTTTTTTTCACTCTGTACACTGTATGAAATATTCATTTCATTATATTAAAGAAAAAGAATACTGATAGAGACTTGTATATATAGTCAGAGAAGATTTTTGATTTTTTTTTTTTATAAAAAAGAAGATCAGCTTTCTTCTGCTCTTCAATAGTGTTCTTCTTTCCTCTTTTTTTTATAAATAATATAAGTATTTCTCTGCTTCTCTATCATACAGTATAGAAAGCTGATTATAATGCAAAAACTCTTATTTTATATGATTCTGTTGCTGCTCAGCAGAATCTGACTTAGACTGAATTAATTAACTTATATTATTCAGCTGCTGAACATCAAGATAAGTGACAGAAATAATCAGAGTATAATATAATATATATCAGCAATTCTCAGCTGAGTATATTTTATTATAGTTCTCAATTCTATACTCTGCTTACTGTTTCTGACTTTGATATATTATATATTTATATATATATCAGAGCTGATCAAGTGTTGTCTTATTATTCATCATATATCAATGCCATTCTGATTCAATTTTATAATAGAACTCTTATCACAGATTGTATGCAGTGTTGTACATCCTCTGAACTTAAACTGTTTTCATTATATCACTGTGTGTATGATCATTTTAAAGAAGTATATATCAACTGCAAATGATGTGATCATGCAGTGTGCTGCTTTCTTCATAACTCTGTGGATCAGTCTGATATATATAATGATTTTTATAATAGACAGCTATCACAGCTATAAGTGTCAGCAGCAGATGGTGTGGATTATAATATTTAGTCTGATATACAGAATAATTTCATTCTTATTGAATAGAGTATATACAAAACTTTCATTTTTCTGTTCTGTTCTGTTCTATTCTCTCTCTTTGATCTTCATTTCTTCATTATTATTATAGATATATATATATTATTATTATAGAGTTAGGCCTAGTTGTATGAGCTGTATATGACACTCAGACAGTTGACTTGCACTTCTATACAGTGTCTGAAATCAGTAGCTCTTTAATAGAGATGAAGTCAAGCAGATCATTTAGCTAGTGATTATATAACTTTCTATATACAAAGTCACATGTACCTGAATTTAATAGTATTTCTCTTACTAAATACAAGTATCCTGTATGTATGAACATGAAATTGAACACATGCCAGCAATAATCAGATTATATGCAGTGGTGTTGATGGCTGAGTGACTGCACCTCTGCATATAACCTGGTTATTGTGAGGGTTGGATTTGAACACACTGTAACCCGACCCATCTATAACTTGAGTTATTGGAGTCTAAGCATCAACCTTTTCTTTCGATCCCCTGTCCTTTGGAATGATGTTAACATGCTGTCTTCTTTCCATTATCCGCCAGATGCCATGTCTTCTGTTCTGGACCTATTTGAGCTCATTCATGCCTATATAGAGCATTTTTATTCCTGTCAGGGTCAATTTGAGTGAGGCTCGCGGATTTGCAACCGAATGTTGCACCGTTCTTCACTGGCAGGCAATGATGATGATGATGCCTTTTGGTTTAACATCCTACCGTGTAGGGTAATATGCCTGGAATTCCCTTTCTCCTTTTTATTTTCATTTGTCTGGAACTGTAGATCCTGAGCTTCGACTCTCTCCTTCTACTATATATATATATATATATACGGTTCTTATACTGTGGAACAGACTTTTCTGGGATCTACCAAAGGGGTTCTATGCGCCACGATCCTCTCGATAGTTCTCTTTTCTGCCAAGTTGTCAAGAACAATTGTGTTTTCGGTGATGTTAATCCTATTGTCCCTTGCAGAGCTTGGCCTTGGCCTCAATTCCCTTTCAACTGGGCGAATTTCTTGGTCAGACAATTCAAGAATAAGCCACCTCCTCGAACCAAGGTTTAGATATCATAACTTTCTTTTTCCCTTTGAATTAGGGTCACACTATTGTCCCAGGAACATTACTTGCTGCGGAAATCACAGGATTTTTTTCCCAATCCTTTGTTATGGCAGCCAACGTCCTTTGGTTTTCGGGCAATTATATACCAGGAAAAGGACAGTCTTCGGTGTTTTATGGCCTCGAACCATCCAAATCCCGGGCATGATAATGGGATTCTTGCCGTGGATTGTGACACCCAATATATATGTATATACATATATATATCTATTTTAGAACTCTATGAGTACAGATCATAATTCTTTGGTGCAGTGCAACCCTGCCAAATTGGCTTTGTGTCAATACTCTCCCAATAGAGCCCACGGAGTCCCTCCCATCTTTTTCCTTTTCCATTTCCTTTTTTTATATTCGTGTCGAACATTACGTCGTCATTCTGGATCCTTCTTGTTTCTTCGAGTATGCTATATAGTAGCAACATTCTACGCCCTTCATCTCTCCCGGAAGCTGCGGTAAAATGGCGACATAGCATATGCTCCTCTCATGAGGTAGATAGTCGTCTTACATGATTTGGATCAGGCTGTGGCCCAGCCCACCGCACCGCATGTTTCACTTGCTACATATTGCCGTGGTGAGAATGTTAGACTCAAACAAGGGAATGCACCTAGGACATGCACACCTCCGCATTGTTCAACACCGCATCGCCTGACGAAGGATTAATCCCTGCAGCAGAGAATCATATATAATTAGTCCACACTCTTTCCTCACAAACCCAACATCTTTTTTCAAAAGCTGATGTGGTCTTCAACGGTAGCCGCTACTAAATTCCATTTATTTATACATATATACACAGCTCCCATATCAGAACCCAAGCACGCTCCATAAACCACGGACATCCGCACGATTACCCGAATAAACACAGAAACAATACAACAAAAAAAATGCACTTGTTCAACCTCCTCGCCACGATCACAATCACCTTCCTCGGAGTGCAAACCGCAATCGCCGTCTCAAACCCCATGGAGCAGACTGAGCAGACCCCGCAAATAGAGCTTGACAACCAAGCCAAGCAAGAGCTGCAAGAACTACTAAAGCAGGATTTCCAAGGCGAGCGCTGCGTACGGGCATGCTATTCTCAAAAGCCAATCTGCAACGGTGCTGGAGCGGTATGTTAATTAATCACCTCCATTTCATCGTTACACACACACAGTTTGTGCCACCAACTACTATTAAGGCACATTTTTCCCTTGATGTCAGCGAGGCGGCGAAAGTCCAACGTTACTAACGAAATACTCCCCGTGTCTCTCCATCTTATCTAGTACCCAAAAAACAGACCAATGTACAAACATGTGTGTCCTGTCTCTTTTTCATTCTTTTCTACCTTGGCTTTTGTCCTCTTTAGCCCTAATTCTATTCCCCCTCCTGTTCTCGGCTTCCTCACACACCAGGAATATTAGAAAATGGAATCGCTTAATTAATGTCACAATTCAACCTTTTGCAAATTTAGTCACAATGCTGGACCTGCTGTGTGAAAAAGTGATGGAGATATCGTTGTTCACCTGGGCACTGCATTGGTTGTCTCTGAGAAAAGGAGAAAGGAGGGTGTAGGGAGAGCAAGCGCCTAGACTGTTGTGTTTTGAATGCTAACACTCTTTCTTTTCCTTTTGGTTTCCTTGCTCTGGAAAGCAAACAAAGAATGGAGAAGAGGAATTTGGGGATCCTCTCTTTCTCACTCTCACTCACTCTCTCTTTCTGTCTTTTTTTTTTTTTTTTCAATGTGTGTGCATATGCATAATTTCCCTTGCTATATCATCACTGTCATAGAGGTCAACTTTTTCACCTACAGAAATACATGGCGTAGCTGCCATACCCAGCAGTTTCCCCGTGGGGCGCATAGCTATTGTTAGAAATTACATCTGGAATAATGGACCTGCATTTCTGTCACTGTACGCTTACAATTTGCAATGGGTATGTATGTATGTATGTGAAGCTTCTACTTATGTAGTAAGTGGCTCTAAGATAGTTTTTTTTTTTTTTTTAAAAAAAAAAAAATATATCCATAATTCAGTGTTTGTTCATTGCTCCTATCATTCAATCAAGCCGCTACGAAATAGTATACTTAAACAGCGGGAAGGTCTGATAGCGATGAGAACAACCGTAGCTTCACTTTTTTTAAAAAAAAAAAAAAAATCGTATATTGTTAAGGAAAGGTTAACAACGAAAATCTGTGATGTATATAATCCTTTCTTGTGAAATTGAAATGCAGTTTAATGTGAAAGACATTGTCCTGCAACGAACTTGAAGAAAAGAGATAACAGCACCCGGGTAAAAATGCTATTTGGGGGGGGGGGGTGGGTGGTTGCACAACCAATATGCACAAGACTGAAAACCAAATCATCAGCGATCTGATACGTTTGCGGATAAATTTGGGGAGTCGATATGAAGCCAAAGCCTTGACTGACGATAAAAGCCAGGAAAAGAGTCAAAAGATGCATTGCGAAAAATTGCTAGTTTTGAGGGCGAACCCCTTTCCTGTAGTACGCGAGGTAAATAATAGATGAAGAACTCTTCTTAAAAAACTTGACGCAGATAAAGCAACAATAGCCATTACGAGTGTGCGGAGAAACCCATATGGTTGAACAACAGATGGGTGCAACTGCAGCAAGAGCTGGAGTGGAAGCGGGATACAGATAGAAAAGCTTCAGGAGCAAGTACAGGGCGAGGATTGACGAGCTGCTTCAGATTCCCTGCTTTGCATGACAGGCCTTTTGTTTTCTCCACAATCTATGGTCTGCCCTGTCGGCCTCATTCGTGAAGGTGCAAGAGGGATAACGGTGTATATGCATAGGACATAGGAGTGGGAATCAAATCTGTATACATTTCTGTTGTGGTGTTTGCCTCTCGCTCTATGGAGACCGATCAAAAATCTAATGCAGCTCCTCTGAGCTATATTATTTCCAGAAATAATACGAAGGATGTAATATGCCTTTTCTTTTTTGTCCCTTTTGTTTCAAGCTTATTCTCAGCTCCATTGGTAAAACGAACTCACCCCACCCCGCCACACTGATGCTTGAGTCAATGCTTCTCGAAAATGATTGTCGAAGACGACTGGGGTGATCAGAATGAATGGTCGGTGCGCCTGAGCCCTGAATATTGATGCGCAGAGGGTACCTGTTATTGATCGGAATGTTCGAATACGCCTCCTCTTGGACGGTTGTTTCGGAGCGAGCCAGGGTGTGCAGAATATTCTGGCTTAGCGCGGCCCAGCAAATAATCTTACCATGCCGACTGGCTGCATGCAAGGCAGCTTTTTGACGCTCCTCGCGGCATGTAATCTATGTAGTTAGTGATTTCGGACAATTTCGCGGTATATCGGATCCCACCCACGATATCCTACGGGTGGTGAGCACCCTGTGCAAAATATCACCGCTGTGCTAATTCTTGTGTTTTTTCATCCCTAATCATACAATTAAAATCTAGACAGTAGATATTTAATTATTTTAATCATATGATATTAATTATTTTCTAAATAATTCGAGTTGATGAATTATGAAATTTCAGAAATTATTTAAAATCTCTATCCTTTACAGTCAATTATAACTATCTTCTTTTTATTATAATTATTACTATATTCTATAACTAATATTCTCTGTTTATAATTATAGATATTATTATTATTTTCTACACTTTTGAATCTCTTCTATCAACATTATATATCACAGATCCTAATAGATTAGTATATGAATATTCTTCTCATTCTCTGCTCCATATGACCAAATCGAGTCTGGTTGTCATGTGCATCCGCCTGCAACCTTGGAAGAATAGCCAATCACGCCACAGCACCACGCACACCCCACGCCGCCCCACGAACCTGCCAAGTCGCCCGTACAGCAGACAGGCGCAACATCCCACTCCCACACCTGCGTCAGCCAACCAGCCTCTGCTCGCCTTCTTAGGGCTTCAACCTCCATCCACCCTCCACCCAGTCGTTGGCCTTCGTTCTGGTTGTTTGCTTTTTTGAGCCCTCCCCAGATTTTATCGTCCCTTCTCCTGGCCTTTCTGTTCCAAGTCCCTCTTTGGTCGGCGACAAAATCAATCCAACCAGTCAGTTCCACGCTCTCGGCTCCCCGCCGCAGCCACCTGCGGCTCCCCCACTCGCACTGTGATCATAGGATTTACTCTCCTGTCTGACATTCCTCTCGAGGCTGACTCCGCCTTTTCTTGGTCTGTATACTCTTCTCGATTCAATCGTGGTTTCGTAGCAGCCAAAGGCATCAGTCATGGAAATGGATGGAGATATTTCGTTGTCGGGTTGGCCTCAAACCATATCTGAGGATCTTCTTGTTCCGGTATCTGGCGAAGAAGAATTTTCAAAGTACCTGGATTTCGATTTCAGCTTTGCGGACTTGGATGATGTCGCAAGCCAGCAGCACAATGCCATTCACACTTCTCCGCCGGCCTCCTCTGAGATGGCACATCACCAACAAATGCAGAATACTTCGCAAGCCCCAAATTATCAGCCTGAACTCCACCAACTGCACCACCAGATGGGCATGCAGGGCGACATCAATACAACAGCCGCGAACGTAGCACCGCAATACTACGTCCAGAAACAGCAAACTTTCCTTACACAACAGAATTATGGGCAGAGACAATATATTCCACCAACCCCGAATAGCACCGAGATGCATGCTGGAGTCCCCCAGGGACTGTCTAGATTGGACACGGATAACCATAGACATTATGAGCATTACGCAAGACCTAGTGATGATCAGGTATGAATAAAGAGCCACTCGATACTCAAATTAAGAGAAAGAAAAAAATTTTGTTTCCCACTCCCTCCGATATTTGATTCTAACAAATTTTACAGAGCGCTTTCACTCCCTTACTTTCTCCCGCGATGACCCCCTTAGAACAACAGTTCTGCATTCCAGAATACACTGTCCCTGGCGAATACTTTACACCTCTTACGTCACCAGCTCTAGAAGCTCGAAATTCCAATGGCAATGGGTATATTTTCAATGGCACCACATCCCACACTCCCGATATGGGCTTTATATCCTCGCCTGTAGAAATGGCCAATCAGCTTCCCATTACCTCTACTCCCTCGTCTCCAGGAACGTCGCGCAAACAGAGGGCAAAGTCGTCCTTTTCAAATCGAGCTGGTTCACGTCTAGCTCGTCAATCTCCGTCAGTCCGACCTCTTAGCCGCCGAAAACCCAGCACATCCGGGCCATCGGCCGATAGTGGCTTTTTTGCGAACCATGACAAGAGCTCGAGTCGACCATCAGTGAAACAAACCGATGGATATCGCCATACAGGAAGTACGGAAAGTTCCGGACAGGATTCTGTTTCCCCAGAGCCCTTATCAGAGCCATTGATGCCACCGCCTGCACTTCCCCGATCGGCAAAATCCCCGTGCATAGGAGCGCAAGACTCTAGATCGGAAGCAATATCCCGCGAGGCCGCAACTCCTGCTACTCTGATGAATTTGCAGCGCCAATCCCAGCCTACGCCGCAAAACTCCAAGAACCAATTCTCAAGAAGCGGAGGCCTCATTGTCAATGAATATCCTGATGAGACGATGGAAGATATGTCGTTACCCGAAGCCGCATCCTCGAATTCTGAACTCGCTACCGCGTCATCCGGGATAATAGTGACGAGCGGTGAAACAACCCCCAAAATCGTAGCAGAACAGACGCCAAGGTTGAAACCAGCCAACAATGGATCTTCAGAACGTCCATCTATCACCTCCGTCACCCCAAGCCCTCAAATCAACGCTATGGCATCTCCAACTGGGCCAGTCGGTCTCAAGCGGACGGATTCGAAACTGAATGGCAGGGTGTCCAAGAAGCGACAAAGTGTTAGCTCCTCGCAGGTTAGCCCGGCATTGCGGCCGAAAATTAGTCCCAGCATTCAACCTTTAATTCATGGCGATGGTAAGTCTCCTCCTGTTGTGGCTATTTCCGTTTCTTTCCCTGCCTGTATATGAGCCTAACACCTAACTGACTTCTCAACCGTAGTGGGCATCAACGCGGAAACGTCAGCTCTTTACCTCGCCTCGAAATCCAATTACCAACATATCCTCGAGGGAACTCTTCTCCCAGGCGTCTCTTATCCTAACGCATTGGCCGAAAACCTAAGTTCCAAACGGACGAATCATAAACTAGCCGAACAGGGTCGCCGAAATCGCATCAATACCGCGCTCAAAGAGATCGAAGGCTTACTGCCACCGTCGCTAATACGAGAGAGGGAAAAAGCAGACAAGGTCGGCATTGATGGAGGCGATGGGGCCACCAGCAAATCATCAGATAGACCAAGTTCAAGTCAAACGATCAGCAAGGCAAGCACCGTTGAAATGGCAATTGTTTACATCAAGTCGCTACAACAGGAGATCTCGGAAATCAAGGAGAAACTGCAAGCTGCGGAGTCAAAACTGCTAGAGAGCTCGAATAAGGGTGGTGGGAGTCCGCGAGAAACTGATGAAAAAAGCGTAGTAAAAGTTGCCCCGAATGCTGCTGTCGCTTGAGCTCTAAGGACCCTGGTCTCATCAACCTCTGTCGAACATATTTTTCTCCTGACGGCCATTATCTATCGATCTACGCATCTCGCGCGCTCTTCCCATTCCCCCTTATCTCTACCCCGAATCATACTGTACTCGCCATTTTGTCTATTTTATTTTCAGTTGTTTCTTTTACTTTACCCGCTATTTCCTGTTTATATATATTCTTTTCACATGTTAATGGGGTCCGGGTGTTGCAGATTCTAGATTGATGAAAACCAGAATCAGCTATTGGTAGCCAAACCTTGGTTATTTTGACCTTTTTGGCTAATTTCTATCGTCACTACTCCTGATCTCTCCCCCCACCTCCCTCACAAACAGAAAAAAACCCCAATTTTCTATATACATATTGTCGAGAAGAACAAAAGCACAGTTCGTCTTAGTTTTTGCGGATGGAGGTGGCATTATTATTTTATTATTTCCTTTGATACGAGTTCATGCTGAGGTGGGCTATACTGGGCGGCTATCTGTGTTTTTAAAATATGTTTTTCTCAAGTTTTTCCGCAAATTTTTGTCTTTTGTTGCTGTTCATTATCCTTCGTATATTCCCGAGTCCATATTTCAATTCTCTTATAACATACCGTTATACCTATAGAGACTTTATTATAATACAACTTGTTGGATTTCCGATGCTTTCTGTTTTAATCTTCCACATCTCCTTGGAAAATCTTGCTGTCCATATACTTGCTTGAGGGTAAGTTACAGGTGAAATATTTTACTATGAATCCTGATCACAATCTCTCTTGTGCTTGTGTCTCCTGGATATGTGTTTCTGCAATTTTTCATTTGACTTTGCTACTGCAGCTTCTCCTTAAACCAGACACTCTTTAACATACAATAACACTCAAATTCAATGCTGTCACCCAACATTTCAATTCACTGATAACAAGAACTCTGGACACATCTTATTCTTTTCTCAAAGCAAATTCATATCCACTTTGGGGAGAACAGATTCAACATCCCCAGCCATCCGGAAATTTAGGATATTCAATTGACTCTTGCATGAATGGACCAGAGCTGTGCAATGGGCTGTGTCTGGCCTACCTATTATATGCTCGCTATTTTTGAACCTCGAGGGGTATATATAAATATACGTATTTAGTTTTGCTCTATTGGGGAAGTCTTCCTCCTCCATTGCACTATTTAACTTCATATACAATAGCGAAGTAAATGTCACTGAGATTGCTATAATATATCACAAAGTCATTACCAATCTATATAGCACCCCTCCCCTACTCATTGTCGCCACAATGCATGTGTATTAAAGAGGCTATACCTATTCACTCCCTTCGCTACCCCCGCCAGCCTCTCCTTTTTGACACCCCAAGGAGGCCTAGACAACCAAAATACCCATCCTTAATGGCCAGTGAGTGAATACAGTAAGATACAAAGCTACACTTGAGGGAGGCTGGAAACAAAAAGAGTCACTGTCGCCTGGCATCGATGGAGGTTGCGTTTTGCCATTGACTGCCATTTCTACCAGAGGCCCCCGCCCCGCCTCAACCCCCTCCCCTTTTTCTATGCTCTGCCCCATCCCCTAACTGGCTGAACACAAACACCAAGTACACACTGAAGAGTATATCAGATATCTAAACAACGGTTTTGACATGCGATATCGCCAACACTGACTTCCAATCTCGTTAAAATCACTTCATTCTTGTCTTCCCACATCATACAAACCATACAACAACTTCCACCCTTCCAGCAGCATGATACAGGAACCAAAACGTGTCCAGCCGCTTGCTATGCGCCCTGACTCTTCCGAAGATAGTGAACTGCTGCAGCAAGCTAGAGAAAGGCGTGACCGTATCGTAGCCGTGTATTCTAAGATTTATGGCATTGCCAAGTTCGTTTTCATCATCTTGATGGCGTACGGTGTGGAGGTAAGTCACGCCATCCACCGCTTCACGAGAGAATAAGACGCATGAAACATATCAAGAACCTAACATCCTGATGTCCTTGCTCTGGACTAACTTTCATCCCCAGCTTGACGATGCGCACAGTGGCATAAAATTCCACATCGAGCAGGTCGAGGACCAGATGGCTCAGGATTCCAACGCGCAGCTCCTCCAGACCATCGAAGACCTGTTCTATGCACTCTATGCACGACTGAACATCGAAATCACCAATGTGCAACTCTCTGAGAGCTTCCAACGGGACAACGATGGTGGAACGACGCGAATGGGCCAGAGCGGCTATCGATCCGTATCTTCTGCTGGGCAATACCTCCCAGGACCAAGCAACGTCAGCATGATCTTCCAGGCCTGCAAACGGCTGCTGACGTCAGAGGATATCTGCAACATTCTCGATCAAGAGCTCATTTGCATGAAACAGGCGTCTTACGTCCAGAATGCGGTTGAGGCTTTTGTTGCCAACGACAGCGACGGATACTGTCATCGAGATGACGTGCTGGATTATCGCAGACATGTCGAAATGATAGTCTTCGACCCCAATTCACCCTTCGCAAGGGAGCTGATTGGTCTGAATCCCATTTATAAACAAGCTCCATGCATGGTGCTTGCCACGCTGTCAGAGAAGTATCTCGGGTTCCAAAGGCCCGCGGACAGGTACGATGATAGCAGCAATGTCTACTACGAGTACGCCGCGGCAGAAATGACAAGACCAACTCCAATCCCGCCTCCAACAGCAATAATCGCAATCAGCCGCCAAAACAGCGTCGCTTCCTCCAGCACCTCCTCCTCCGCCTCCTCGGCCGCAACACTCTCGATGCACCGCCTGCTCCCCGAACGGCGCCGCACCGAAGCAAACCGCGAAGCAGCCTACGCCATGCTCAACGGCATCTCCGTCGGCGAGTACAGACGCACTGAGGGAAAACGCGCATTGCGCCAGTACGTCCGGGACCAGCTCTGCATCTGCTTCGGTTACTGTTCCTGCGCGCGCAAATGCACTCTCAAGTTTGCCCGCGCGTGCCCATGCAGTGCGCGGATGAGCGTTCTATGCGATGTCGAAGTTGCTGGGCAGTATTATGGCCAGCCATGGTTAGACGAAGAAGGGCATGCGCAGGCGCAGGGCCACCGCGAGCAGCAGGCTGTAGTGATAATGGACCCTACGGAGAACTTCTCGAGACGGTGTGCGCAGTTGGGTTGCGCGCTATTTGCGGGGTTGTGCAGCGTTAGGAAAGGGGTGGTGTTGAGTTTTTTTGAAGTTTATATGGAAGTTAAGGCTGGTGCGGAGGTTTTTCATCAGGAGGCTCTGGCGTATCGGGAGATTATGGGGGTGGTGTAGGGAGAGGTGAATGGTTTAGTCTGTGACCAAGGAAGGGTATTTTCTTTGTCTGTTTTATTTTATTCCATTCCCCTCCCTCCTGTTTTCAATACTGTGCAATGCGTGAAAGAAATGGGGACGCTCCATTACGCATAAGGAAGGGGAGTTGTGTGCAGGATGGAGATTTGCGATTATGATGTAAGTGACAGGAACTATTCATTTTCCAGTGTATTTGATTTTCCAGTGATTTAATTTCACGATTTATGATGGAGATATTGGGATGAGGATTGGGAATTGAACTGAAGGAAAGCAGGCAGAGGTTTGACAATGGACGTTGTTTTCAATAAATTAGTCGTCGTCCAGCAGCTCGGGGGGTTTAAAATACCAGCTCTTGTTTCCGTTAAGCTCGTACCAATTTTTTTTCTCTCTCTCTCTCTCTTTCTCTTTCTTTTTTCCTGTTGGTGAGGACAATAATAGCATGCCCACATACCCAATATCATCTTTTCTGTTAGTTTGCTGGCATTAAATGTTGGATTGGCCCGTCCCTGCTACGGTGGCCTAGCAAACTTTATATGTAATCATGCGGGGGGATTCGGCATATTTGTTTATCCGGCTCCGGAGTGACTGAGCTCAGAGCAACAAGAAGGCACTGTCAAACACACACCAGCAAAATGCGCAATCCGCTTAGGGCCATAATTCATGGCCATTCCCCGTTAGAGATTCGACCGACATTACGGCGAATACGTGCCTGTCCGCATCCATGGTCAACCCTCTTCTTTCTTATTTGGCCCTTTCCATGGCGGTATACCTTACCATATCCACTTCTATCAGTGGAAGAGATTGAAAAGCACCCTAATTTTCACGATGAACGTCAATCTGGAATTCGAAAACTCCACAACATCCCAATCTACCGCATCCGCGATACGCCGCTCCGCTCGCTATATCGACTTGTTGAGGATCTGTGTGCCACAGAGTTCATTATGATGGGCTACGAGTGTGAATACTTTTTTTACCATCGCGAGCGTCACTGGTCGTTGGCTTGCATTCCAGACCCTCGGGACGAAGATCCCATCCGTTACGCTATCCTTGCCAGTATGGTGGAAGCACTGGTGGATGCATTCAATTGGAGACTAGAACTTGGAATTCGCCGGGATAAGACAACAGACAAACTCGAACAGCGGAGTTTCAATTTCGTGAGAGAAGAGGCCCCATCCTGGACTTCAAAGATTGGCCCTGTCGCAAAGCCCCTAGCTTTTCATGAGGCTGGCTCCAGTGACATGACGATGGAGCAACGTTTTTTCAAAAGAAACATCAGAGTGCCGAATGGATACTTGTACACGGTATAGTACTTAAGATTTATACAGTGAAAAATTTGAGTGTCCAGTTAATCTGTCAACTACGGTGATCTTTTAATTTTCTTGTTTCATTCTATCATAATGGCAATATTGAGAGGATTCTACTGGATTGGGCAAAGAACATGTAAGCCCTGACCTTTTGGTGCAGTCTCATAGAATACTGCTTCAACAATTGTGATGCTTTATAATTGGGTCTGCATCAGCGCCTAATATGTGTACCTAGGTACGCTGTGCACTTGGATAGTCTTCCACAGTACAATGCAGAAGTCTGTGGCACCGATGCCAGAAGAGAAGAGAGGAGCAGTGAAGTAATAGTAATATACCGTAGTGTCTTTCCCAAAGATAGCACATGTCAAGTGCCATTTGAGTGCTAATCTCCATGTCCACCTCTCAGAGTGAAGTGGCCCTTCGTGCTGCAACCTGTACGTCGCCATACAGATCGAAATACCTCGTCCATAGAATTAACCTATTTTGGAGCCGAAGAGCTCCAGAGAATGCAAGTACGTACTTGGTAAAATAGTGGACAGTAGCAGTAGTAGTCGGAGCCCTTTGATACTGAGGTATTAAGTACAGTGCCTGGCAATAAGTTTGAAACTATTGTGACTTCTTATCAAAATCCACTAATCCAAAAGTAGTTTAACTTGTAGTAATTAGTTGTAGTTATAGTGTCACAAATGCATCCATTTACCTCTATTTTCCCACTCATCTACACCATTCTCTGTTCTCTCATTCATTTTTTTAATCTTCTTCCTCACATGTTTTCTTTACTGAGTGGAAATCTTTTGATTTCCAGATGTAATTTAATTAATTAGAGCTAGTTCTGCAATAAAGAGTACAACTATTAAACTACTTTTGGACTAGTGGATTTTTATGAGAAGTCACATTAGTTTCAAACTTATTGCGAGGCATTGTATTATGTGACGACCCGCTTGACTTCTGCGCTTTACACCTGAATAGTTCACCGTATGGGAAATTTATCGAAGCGCCTGCTATATCTATCTACACATCATCTTGCTTCGCATCACTCCAAGTACAGATCAACCAGCTGGCTGCCATGACTTCTTTCCATAGTCGAGTCAAGCGTCGACCGGGATCACCCACTCCGGGGTGGTTTACGCGTGGGCCAGATGGTTATAACTCTGAGAGTCTGTCTGTATATGAGCATGGCGATTTCTGCCCCGTTTTGCTGGGTGATGTGAAGGGTGGACAGGATTTGCTTCAGAGTGGAAACACGATCTCCTTCAAAATCGTAGCCAAGCTGGGCTACGGCTCCTTCTCGACTGTCTGGCTGGCCAAAAATGTGTATGTCTCGCCTGTCTGTATGCTTATGCAATTGGTTCCTCTGACTAGCTCTCGACCTTAGTAAAACCGATGAATATCTTGCACTGAAATTTCTCACACTTAAGTGCAGTACCCGTGACAATACTGAAATGAGGATTCTCAAAAAGCTAGGGAAGTTGCGCTGTGCATTCTTCTACAAACATATCAACAATCTCGAATATCTATGTCTAGGCATGGATCCTGCAGGGTCAAGTCTACACGACCGAGAGAACAGCGAGGTCCCCCTTCCATCAAGCATATCTACAATAACGACCTTTATAAGCTGTCTGGTGAATCGAGTGTTAACGCTTCATCAGTTGGGCATCCATCATGGGGGTGAGTGCTTTGGCATTACATGGGAGACTTACACGGGCCGCGCGAATATTGACTTTTTTAATATAGATATAACTAGCAAGAATGTTGTTCTAGGATTGCATAAGGATGCCTTCACTTCTGAGGCCCTCCACAATTCGTTCATGTGCGACTGCAACGTGGATATTTTTTACATCGGTGAAGAAGGGGAAGCGCCAAGTCTACCTCCGAATTTGCCGAAGTATATTGTTCAACATGAGGAGATTGGGCTGTTAACAGACAAAGAAGATATGTCCAAAGTGGACCTTATCGACTTTGGCTTATGTACGTTTTTCTTCTGTTGATCCATGTGTGCAATACAAAACTTATATAATCGCAGCTTTTGAGGAGCCCACAAAGACGAAGGTCTGGGGAACCAAATACTACCAGGCGCCTGAGAATGAAGAAGGACGGTGTGCGTCCGCAAAGTCAGATTTATGGAGTTTAGGTTGCGTGGTAAGTTGCTGGCTTCGGTCTCGCAATCTATGCCCAGCAAGTATTGATCTATGCTCCCTATAGCTTCTTTACGGTCTAGCCGGCGAGAATTTCTTCGAAGAACATGATCAGCATGATTACCTGAGTGTGTAGTATCAACCACGTGTCTTCATTGATTGTATGTGCTAATCCAACTTAGATCATGATGATGATAGCCAACTCCTCATGATTGATGATCATCTAAGTGAAAATCGTTGCTTAGGAAAAAACATTAGTTTCAGGATGTTGATCGGAGACATTATTCACCATCTCCTTCAGAAGGATCCCTCCAAACGCGATCCCGATACTGTAAGAGATCTCCTGCGAAAGCTCGAAAGTGGAGATTACGGTTATGACAGTGGGAACTCTCAAGATGGGTCCAGTGATGAGAACGAGATTTAGACCATTATACTGTGCATCAACAGTTTCCCAGATCTGATATGCGTTTTGCTATCAGCTTTCTATTTATAGATAAGTTGACCCACAGCAACTACTTGTTTTCTTTGATCTTAAGTACGTTTCCTATTAGTGCATGTGCACTATATTTCCACTCATTCATTTTCCCCCCTCTCAAGTTGTGTCTGGATGTTTCGGTGACTGCCGATATGAATACCAATAATTCCTAATCAAACATGACCTAGCCACATACATCCATATTTCCCTGAGATCTAATATGTCTGCTCTGCAGCTAGTCTTCACATGGCTGGCCCATTGTCGCCATTCCTTTACATTTTCCGCCGACAACATCAAATTCCACTACAATTGTTGCAAGAGTTTGTCATCTTTTCCATCCCCTTGGCGCCTGTAGGTTGATCTGGACAAATGCTATATGACGCGTCCTGGTCTTCAAGGCGCTCTATAACAGATTTGTCGTTAAGGGTACTTTCGCGTTGATGTCCTTCTGGATCAACTCTGTTATTCTCACAAGGCGGCTGAAGGACTGCGTCCACTTTTTTAATTTTCGGCGCTGGGGTCAGATGACGCCTGCTCTGAAGATGACGGCGGAAAGGGAGTGATCATGGAAATTCCTCGCAGTGAGATCTCAGTGTCGGCAAATTTACCTATGGACATTGTGACTGGTGGCGGAACGCGCATGCAGTGTGTGAACGAGGCGAGCCTTGTGGGCAAAATTGGTATGAATTCGCATGGGTTTGGGTTATGCGACAACGCATTGCGGGCGGGAACAAAGACTTCTGACAGACTACCGACGCATGTCATGCCGCGTTGGCTCCTTCAGTACACAAAAAGCTTCGAACAAGCGCTCCAGATGATTCAGGAATATGGCAGTGCTTGCACTTGCAATTGTATTCTGAGTGATAGTAAGATGATCATCCCGTCCTGCAGTTCTTCGATTCAATCCCTGTTCTGGGCCAGGATTAACATTGAGCCATCTGCTGACAGCTGCGCAAGTCCTGTGCATCCATCAGTGATCAACGATGGTTTGTTTACCCGCGAGTCCTCGTAATTTTTGAGTGAAATTTCGCTACGGATATTGAGGGTGAAAATGTCGCCTTGGTCCAGGCCCTGCTCCATCCGCAATGCTCTGGATCTCGGTAAGGATTTCAGGATAGAGCTTCTGTAGGGTCGGGATAAAAGTTGAATGTTGCTTTGCCTCTTTTCAACTCAGTCCAACTGTTTCATAAAAGAAAACTACGTATGCTCTGATGTTGTCAATTTGTTTCTTAGCCTGTTGACCATGCGGGAATCCAATTTCGTACGAGGAACACGGGGCCAGTTATCTGCGGTAATCAAGATTGAATATGGCATGGGCTATAGATATGCCGTGGAAGGCTACTGGGCTAGATATCTATCGGTGTGTCAAGCTAGCACTCTGCTCTACAACCCCTCCATGACATCATTTGGGTGAGCTTCACAAGCTCGCTTTTGCTGTGGTTCTGCTGCATCAGATTACGGTCTCCTTTCTGTATGTACATCAAAAAAATTATCTTGAAGGTCATCTACCATTATTTTGCCAGAGGAAACATTTATACTGCTTAGAGGTTTGTTGTTCTTATGTTCAGGCGCTGACTTTGAACCAACAATGAGAAGCTTTTTATCCAATGTGGCATTGCCTCGTGAAGAGTAAGTATCCTTGTCTTATTTTTCAATCAGTTGCAATACGTCGCTTTTTAGTTATTACTACTCTTGGTCATTCCAAGCAAGCCTTTTAGCCTTAAGCACATAAGGACCTCAAGATATAACAAGAGTAGTTCTAATAGAGTATCCTTTCAGAGTGTTGCAACTCTACCAAGTGTTATCTTGATTGTTGTAGTACTGGCATCACCCCTTGGACGAGAAAGTCAAGCTTTCTTTACACTATGGCATTCAGGAATTTCTTCAAGATGCATCTTGCTCGTGTAATGGATCAACGAAATCTGATAGGGTATTCTCTGATCCATGCATTAATTTTGGCTTAATCATCATACTTTTGGCTGCGCTCGTCGGTGTGTTCAGGACCTAGATATAACTAGGGGTTATACGGGGGGGGTTCTGGGTGGCGTTATAACCCATGTTACTATGTATGTTAGCCAAGCCCCACAATAACTTTTTTAGTGTTAATTATACTGTACATACATTCAACCCCACTTGATTCATATTATACAAGCAGGCATCATCATTCAAGAATAGATTTTTAAGCATCTCTGCTCTGTATTCTTCATCATAATCTCTCTAGCTGATTTTACAGAGATAGAGCAACAGCTTCAGATCAGCAAAGATCTCTTCTTATATAAAGAAAAGACTCTGACTCTGACTCTGCAGAATTAATCAAAGAATATTAATAAGCAGTATCTCTTCAGATAGAGAGAATAATGAATGAGTGATACTGCTTCTCTGTATTTAGATTGATTATTTTTATTCTAATTTCTATCTTTTTATACAGAACTTCTGTAAAAAGACTGACTTTGAAGATGAAAAAATAATAATAGAGAGAAAGCTAATCTGATTTTTGAAGAAGAAGATATTTTATTATTCACTATAGAACTCTGTTTATAAGAGTAAAAGAGTTTATATAGACAGAAATAGCAATACTGTACTACAGACTGTGAATAAAAGTATAGTTAAGCTATATATAGCAGCTGTGATGAATTTATATAGATTTCAGAAAAACAGAGAAATCAACTTTTCTGATCATTTATATAAACAGCTGATCAGTACAGTTCTTCATATATATAAAATCAAGAAGTCTGTACAAAAACAGATACAGTATATAAATTGAAGAATCAATACTCTGTAGAATAAATATAATAAAAAGATAATAATTTATCTAATGAAGTTCTGTTGAACTGATTAATATAAAAATAATTAAATATCTATAATAAATTATTTTTATACAGAGTTGAATTTTCTTATAAATTATAATATACTTCTGTAGAGAGAGATATTCTATACAGCACAACTGTCTAATTTTTTCATTCTTCAATTTTTAAATAAAAAATTCATTTTATACTGATCTATAATTCTTATTATAGATAATAATAAAATCAATTAGCTGAAGTGACTGAAATATACTACTGTGATAAAATATAAAAATTTTCTACTCTATATAATATCTTATCTAATATTCTATCTATTCTACTGCTGAAATATTGTATAAGAAAATTTTTTAAACTTTCAAAAATATTTTTTTTAATATAATATTTATCTTCTCTGTAAACAGAATCTCTTCAAGTCTTTTTTATATAATACTCAGCTTCAGTAAATCAATTATATATATACAGCAGCTGAGTTTCTGTTAAATAAGAAGATTTATTTTAATTAGAATCAGAGATTCAGATATACTGAGCTGAATGAAATATCAGAGAATCAGATTTATTAAATTGATTAATAAAATAATAATACTCTGATCAACTGCTATTTTATCAATATTTTCTAAAAGTTTATACAAATAATAACAGAATTTAAATCACAGATTCAGAGCAACTACTTTCTTTTTTAAATTATCATTACTCTCTTAAAACAACTGAAGACTGTTATCTGATTATAAATGAATATCTGACTAGATAGATTTAATTTATACAAAAGATTGAATCAGAAACAGAAATAGATATAGAGATGAAAAAAAAAACAGTAGAAATGAAAGAAGTGAAGAAGATAGTATAAAATTTATCAGAGAATAAATAAAATCTAGTAGCTCAGAAATTTCTATAGCTATTGAAGCAGTTTTATATAATAATTCTTTAGAATTCTATACTTCTGTAGAGACAGTTCTCTGATTATTCTCTATAATCAGATTCTCTTTTTATATAAAAGAATTATTAGAAGTATATTCTTCAGATTATTCAGATTTTTAAGACAGCTGTAGAGTCTCAGAAGATTTAAATTCAGTAAATAATATCTATTATTATTAATCAACTGAGAAATATACAATAGAAAATGATTCAATTTATTGATAAATAAAATTGTGAGAATTAGTAACTGCAGTAGAAGATAATTCAGCAGCTTGCTAATTTAATTGATAATTAAATTATCTTCTTTATACAGACAGTTTCTCAGAGCTCTGCTGTTCAGAATTCTGTAATGAATCTGACTATTATTCTCTCTATTTTCTCTTGTAATAGACACAACAGAGATATCTATATTAGAAAATAGCTATATAGCAACAGTGTCTGTATATAATACTTACTGATATTTATAAATCTTAGAAAATCAGCAATTAGCTTTGAATAATAGAGATTGCTATCTTTTAGTTTATATATACTTCACATCACTCTTATAGTTAATCTTAGTGTTCTTCTTACTCTTACAATTCTAATCACTCTATATTTTATCTGAGTGATTCATTGTACACACACTCTACAACAAGATTTACAACATTAGTTAAAATACACAAAATAATTTCAATACACACAAGATTTCTTGAGAATCAATCTGAATTCACTATCATCTTCAACAATTATAATATTCAATTGCAACAGCTAAATAATTAAATTTGTAAATAAAAACAACAACTAGCTATTCTGCACACACAGCAGTGTCTCAATAAATTGAAAACACAGATATATAAAGACATTTTCACTGAGTCTCAATCAACTTATAATACTGCTGTAGAATTATTACTAAATCAATCTGTAGATGATATTGATGATGATAATAAAATACTACTGCAATTGAAGATTAAAAATTACTATTGAAAAAAAAATATATTAGAATTTAAAGATTATAAAAATCATATATTAACTCTCTTTACATACCACCACTGATATTATCAAAAGAAAGAATGTAAGATAAATAATATCAAACTCTATCTTAATACTCATATTAAGCAGAAATGATTGAATTTTGTATTCTTATATAAAAGATATAAGAGAGCAACACTGTTAATGTTCAATAATATACTAATACACTTAGAGATACAGATTAACAATCCACAGAATCAATAATAATTAGTGAATCAGAGATTTTAGAATACTAAGCAACAGAAATAATAGTTGATATATGACTTTTCTAAATATCTTAAGAATTGAGAGTATTACTTACTCTTATATAATAAGAAATAAAGAATGAATAACTTATATGATAAGATACTGAAGATGCTATATACAGAACTCAATCAATACAATAATAAATCTCACAATTATAAAGAGTTGCTTTGAACTTTATAGACTCTTGAGAAAAATATATTAGAATAATAATATATCATTTATAAGAGTAGATCTGTGATATTTGTAGAAAATCAATATTGCTCTGATAGATCTAGTAATCAATAAAATAAAAGAAAATAAAAAGAACAGACAGATTCAACTGAATAAATCAAGAAAAATAAATATAACTGAATGAAGAAGTATTTACACTGTTATAAGAAGAGATATATTATGAATAATTGTTGAATATTACATCTGAAAAAGTGTAATCAAATTTGATAAGTAAAAAATCAGTAATTTCAATTGTAGAAGCAGCTGCTGTATTGAAAATACAAACAACTAGACTGTAAGACAAATGATTATTAACAATAAATATATAAATATTGATAGAAGCAGAATAATCAATAATATGAATATTAGTAAATTTTAATGTGAATACTAACTTTATATTCCACATCTGAGCATTGAAATATTTCTTGAAGTCAGAAGATAAACTGAAAGTAGTGAAAGCAGTTAATAATTATAGAGTTAAATTATATAAATAATAAAGAGCTATAATAAAGATTATCAATGATGAATATAATCTTCAGAAAGAATATCATTATTTTAAAGAAGTTAATATCAGTAAATACAATGTAATTCTGAATATATTATAATTATAAGCTGTGAACTTTGATATCAACTGAGTGCAAAGATGCTGAATTTATAGAAAAGTATCAGATATTAGTTATGTGCATCTAGATACTGCTAGAGAATTCACAATTTTAATTAATAATAATAATATTATATTTGCTGCTTTTTCACTGCAAGCTGTATATACAGCAACTGCATCAGATATATCAGATAATTATAAGAATTATCTTGATATATTCTGAGAAGATATATCTGATACAGAGTATATATCTTATAATCATACTATAGATCTCAAATCTGATAAGAAATCACTGTACTGATTGATATATAATCTATTATTTCAAGAACTCTCTATTCTCTGAAAATATATTGAGAAAATGCTAGAAAAGAATTGAATATATTTATTGAAGAGTTCAGCTGATATCTCAGTATTATTTATACTGAAAAAGAATAAAACCTTATATCTCTGTATAGATTACTGAGGATTAAATGAAATAACAGTCAAGAATCAGTATTCACTGTTTTTAATAAATGAAATACTTGATAAATTAGCAGATGTCAAAATATATATACAACTAAATTTTAGAGATATATATTATAGAATTTATATACAGACAGAGAATGAATGAAAAATAATATTTTGAATATAATA